ATACCTCTGTAAATTATTGAAAAACCTTATAGGGATTTTTGGGTGGTTATTCTTTTTGGTGGGGGTAGTGGTAGTTAGACCATTTACGTGCATAGGAATAATCTTTAGAAGCTAGAACAAGTTTTTCAATCCCAGAAGGAGAGATGTAGAGTTGTTCTGGGTCTATGACTTGCTTCAAATCATAAGCTGTTAAATGGTGTGAACCAAGCCTTCTTATCCCAAAGCTTGTACTCCCTTGAGTATTCTGCTTCTGCTTATCCTTTTAAGACTTCTGAATCTATGTTGCCTGAAGATCTCTTAGGGATACAAGAGAAGGAAATAAATATCTATAGAATGACTCCTTTGGACCAGGCATTTTGCTATATGATGGGGTCTCATTTAATCTTAGACATCTTCAGGAGGGTGCTGTTTTATGGATCAGGAAATATAGTCTCAAATGAGTTATATGAAAAATTATGGCAATCGAGATTTGAGCTAAGCTTCTGGGTTTTACCCACTACATTATGCCACAGATATTTTAACTTGTATCAAATTTAAGTGTTTGAGAACTTATAGATTCAAATAATCCAGAAAAGTACCAGATGGCAAAACATGTAAACTTGAACAGTACTGTAAATACTTCAAAGTATACAAGTCAAGCAAATTTATTTTACAATAATTGCCAGAGGTTGTCATAGCAGAATTGAAATGGAAAGAAAAATTTATTAGGACAATGACATTCAATAATCATAAAATCAAAACATTAACATTTAATGTTTATTCATTCAAAGTTATATGATCTATCTCTGCTGAGACTTTATTTGAAAAATCATATCTTGAAAATATGAGAAAGCATATAATGGCACATCTGAGATATAAAAAGAAATGTGGCTTACTTTTGGAAAACTATAACTTATTCAAATTTTATCAATGCAAATTTATAATTTTCACAGTTTTCTGTGATAATATGCCACACTTAAACATACAAAATCAACTTTTAGGATTAAAAAAAGATGAAATATACAATTTATATTTGAACTCTCCTCCAGTTTCATTTTAGGAATCCATTTACTGAATGATGGCCTCTGCCACTAGTCATTTTCACTTATGTGATTCATATATACTTGAGAACAAAAAAAAAAAAAAAAGGAATGGCCAACTGCCAAAAACATTTGACAACCACTCAATAAGTGTTTAGAGGTTAAAAACTCCCCCAAACCGGATGTCATACTTAAAACATTTCTATTGTCAGTAAATCTTTTTTCTAGTCAAATCCAATACAGCCATTACCTTCATCCTGAAAAGTGAGTCTTCAACCTACGTTTTCTTAAAAGCTGTGTTATTCTAAAAATTCCCACAGATTCCTTGCTTCCTTAGTCCTTTTAAAGAACATTGAGGATATTATCCTCTCATATGTAAAAGAGAAAGGTGCATTTATCTAACACCTTTCCAAACCCTCTTTTCATTCCTGAACATAATTCCATTTTTTCCTTCCTCATCAAGGTTTCTTAGTATTTTAAATTAATGTTCTTATTTGTTAACTTGACAAGAGTCCGAACTTCCTTTTTCACCTCAAAAATGTTTTTATAAAACATCAAAGCTGTTAATTCATTCAATTTAAGAAGAGATATCTGCTGAACCTGTTGATTGAATTCAAGTAACCAAACAACTAGTTGAATGATTGTATCTTGGGTTTTATTGTTTGTTTTTTGTTTTGGTTTTCTGATGGAGCATATCTGTCAGTGTCTTTTGAAAGTCATAAGAAAGAGTAACTTAATGACTACATTTGAGATTATAAAGAATTACTACAAACAGTGTGTATACCAGCTGTTTTTCATCTCTGCTGTGAACAGAATTATAGTTGATGGCTTAAATTACAGAATCATTTTGAGAATAAAGCTCAGAATAAGAAATATACTCTTGTACCAACCTATAACTACTTTTAAGCTGTTTATAAATGAAAGTTGAATTTAAATTATCCTAGCCCCATCCTTTAAAATATATTAGTATAATTTTGTTTTTCATGGTTATAAGAATGTCAGCTTTTTCAAAGTTTCACCAGTCACATTAGGTTCATACACATAAAATATGTCAATTTATGTTCTTACTTATATCAAAACAATCTAAGAAGTACTATCCAAGATGTATATATAGTTAGGAATTGAAAAGGGGGAAGACACCTTATAATCCATATGCTTTTGAGTCAAAAAACATTGCTGAATTTAGTATGCCATCTGGCACTGTGTTTCCAGTCTGACAACTTTCAAATCATGGGTTTGCTTCTCTTGGTAAATAAATGCCTAACCTATTACTGCACTGACGCACACTCTGGAGAAAGAGAGAAATTAGATATCACTCAAGTGCCCCATTGGTTTGAGGATGGTGCTGCAGATGCTCGAAAGAGGCTTTCTACTGGTATAATCTACTTGCAAACAACTCCATTATAATTGGGAGATATTAACTTAAATGCTATAAGTACATCCAGAAGACATAAGGAGATAGAAAACTAACTGATGTCATAGCACCAATTCCTAAATGTCATTTAAGATTAATATGGTTACTTCATATATTAGTCTAGGCAAAATTTTATCCCCTTTTTGATAAAAATGTGAATTCTCAGCTATTTTATTGAGAGTATATCTTCTCTAATTATTAGCACCATCCATCATGGAGCTGAGGGGGCAAGGTTTAGTTTTTATGATCCTGTGGCCACATACCTGGCAGATAACTGCAGTTGCTTGGTGTCTTTGAGACCTCTGCATGCTGTTCTAGAATAGTTTATTGAAGTGTGGTCCCTCAATTAGCAGCAGCATCTCTTGAGAGTTTGCTATAAATATACAAATTCTCAGAACCTACTCTTCACCTACTGAATGAGAAACTCTAGAGATGGGGTCCAGCCCTCCAAATGTTTGTCATTCATGCTCAAGTCTGAAAACCGTTTTCCTAGAGGCATTTACACAGACCCTAAGGTCTTTTCCTGAATCACGGTGAGAAGCTGCAGTTCAAGATGGGAAGCCTGTTATGTTGTGAGCATGTGAGGTGTGAAGTGCATGATGAACGTGCAAATTAAGGTGTTCAGGTTACAGGTAGGAGTGGGGGACTATCATAATTCAGAAGAAATAAAACAGGATCATGCATCCAAATTGAGGAGGCATCTACACAGAAGTGATGTTATGGAAGTTGATATTATGGAAGGAAATGATACTTTTAAGGGAAAGTGGGCGGAAAGAAAAATGAAGTGGACCACAGAAAACATCTTGCAGAAAGACAGTATTTATGGGTTGGAAGAGAAGTTTCCATGAAAGAAACAGGGGAATCAGAAACATAATGTTATATAAGCAAAGTTAATAGTTGTCTGAAATTTACCAGTATGAATGGACCAGTTGTTTACATCTCTTCTGATTTCTGAATGTTCTGTTCTTACTGGTATCCAGGTTGATATGGTTTTAAAATAATTTTAAGCCTAGGCTCAAACTTATCAGACTACTAGAATTAACACACATATATAAATCTCAGGAAGTGAGTTTTAGTGTCCTTGAAGTCAAAAGGACTGTCCCAAAGCCACCAGAGCAACAGTCAAGAATGTTCCTCTATTATTGATGTTTTATGGCTCAAATATTTTAAGTTCTATGCTTAATGCAGAGTTCATTTTATTCTGAAATTTATGAGTGTTTCAATTTAACTTGATCTAATCATCAAGTAATAATACACTGCCTATCATCAGGGAAGCACAATAGATAGCTGAAGACATTGATACTGGTAGACTCAGCATATTGACAGTATTTAAAATTTAAGTGAACTATGAATCTTGATATCTTATTCTAAAAAGGAAATTGACGAAAGAGGATAAATGAGTTCTTATTCTTAGAAAGAGCAAATGAGAAAGCCAAGATGCTATATTAGATAAATTAATATAAAGATAACAGATGATAGTAGTCCTCAAACATTTGAAATTTTCTCATGTAAAAAGGGGGAAGAGTAAGGAGAAAAATTAGATTTTAAAACTAAGTTTCTTTTATTTACATTCTACTTTTTGATTCTTATGGACAAACTGATTAGCATGATGAAAAATAACTTGCAGTATTTATGTGTAAGATAAGTGGAGACCCGAAAAATCATGTCTTCCTATAATCATTCCGTTTAATAATATTCTCAGTCCCAATATGCAAGAACTGAGTCCCAGTAAAAAATTAATTATCCCAAGTTTGGTTTTATTTTCTCCCCAACAGAAAACCAACACATCACACATTATTTAAAAAATCATTCCTCCATAATTAAGTCAGTCTCAGTTTTCTGTCTCTTTTTTTAACTGTGTAAAATGGCCAAGTGTAGGATCAGGGGAACATAAGATTTAGACTAAGAGTATACTGATATCCAAACACATGGCTTTTACAAGCAATCAAGATTCTCTATGATATGTGAATCAAAAATGGTGAAAGTTGGCCAGGCGTGGTGGCTTACACCTGTAATCCTAGCATTTTGGGAGGCCAAGGAAGGCAGGTCACCTGAGGTCAGGAGTTCAAGGCCAGCCTGGTCAACATGGTGAAACCCCATCTCTACCAAAAATACAAAACTTAGCCAGGTGTGGTGGTGGGCGCCTGTAATCCCAGCTACCCAGGAGGTAGAGGCAGGAGAATTGCTTGAACCTGGGAGGTGGAGGTTGCAGTGAGCTGAGATCGCACCACTGCACTCCAGCCTGGGCAACTGAGTGACGCTCAGTCTCAAAACAAAATAATGGTGAAAGTCTGCATTACTTTACCCTCTTCATTGATTTTTCTTCTACTTTTTTCACAACAACAACATCAGCAACAAACCACAATATAACCCTCTGTACCTTCAAACTAGTTTTAGAATATTGGACATCATTGAACTCTTAATGAAAATTAATGAAGGCTTCCTTTTTTGGTCTTTCAGAAATGGGACATTTGAAGATGTCTATGAAAAAATGTGCATGTTTCCATGTCCGATTGTTATCTTTGTAGAGTAGTGACTTAAACTTTTATTTTGATTTATTATGACAGACAATAAAGATTATGATGCATACTTATCATACACCAAAGTGGATCCTGACCAGTGGAATCAAGAGACTGGGGAAGAAGAACGTTTTGCCCTTGAAATCCTACCTGATATGCTTGAAAAGCATTATGGATATAAGTTGTTTATTCCAGATAGAGATTTAATCCCAACTGGAAGTAAGTTAATGTTTTCATTTGAGAGTGTGCATATTCATGTGAATGTCTGTGTAGTCATCACTTTTTCATGGAATTTTAATGTTTGGCTCTATACTTCAAAATTTGTATCTGTTAGTTTCCCAAGAAAGAAATGTTTTTGTGTGTTCACATGAAATTTAATTTTTGCTAGTTCAGAAAAGATATTCCGTTACTGTATAAAGCATCTCATTTTATGAGCCTTGACATTGAAAGAAACCAAATGAGAGATTTGTACTGGGAAAAATATTGCTGACACTAGGAGAAGCAAGTCCCAAACTCTATTCAGTGATCATTAGCAATTTTCATCTGCTTAAAGTGTTACCCAACAAACTATTTTCATTTAATTTCTGAAAGAGAGAATCTACTGGGACTTTCTGGACCAAATTTTCCATTCACTCATTCTGATGCACTCTTTTATCTTTTGTAGCATACATTGAAGATGTGGCAAGATGTGTAGATCAAAGCAAGCGGCTGATTATTGTCATGACCCCAAATTACGTAGTTAGAAGAGGCTGGAGCATCTTTGAGCTGGAAACCAGACTTCGAAATATGCTTGTGACTGGAGAAATTAAAGTGATACTAATTGAATGCAGTGAACTGAGAGGAATTATGAACTACCAGGAGGTGGAGGCCCTCAAGCACACCATCAAGCTCCTGACGGTCATTAAATGGCACGGACCAAAATGCAACAAGTTGAACTCTAAGTTCTGGAAACGTTTACAGTACGAAATGCCTTTTAAGAGGATAGAACCCATTACACATGAGCAGGCTTTAGATGTCAGTGAGCAAGGGCCCTTTGGGGAGCTGCAGACTGTCTCAGCCATTTCCATGGCTGCGGCCACCTCCACAGCTCTAGCCACTGCCCATCCAGATCTCCGTTCTACCTTTCACAACACGTACCATTCACAAATGCGTCAGAAACACTACTACCGAAGCTATGAGTACGATGTACCTCCTACCGGCACCCTGCCTCTTACCTCCATAGGAAATCAGCATACCTACTGTAACATCCCTATGACACTCATCAACGGGCAGCGGCCACAGACAAAAACAAGCAGGGAGCAGAATCCAGATGAAGCCCACACAAACAGTGCCATCCTGCCGCTGTTGCCAAGGGAGACCAGTATATCCAGTGTGATTTGGTGACAGAAAAGCAAGGGACATCCCGTCCCTGGGAGCTTGAGTAGAATCTGCAGTCCAGTGCCTGGAACTAAATCCTCGACTGCTGCTGTTAAAAAACATGCATTACAATCTCTAGAACACGAGGAAAAACAGGGTCTTGTACATATGTTTTTTGGAATTTCTTTGTAGCATCAGTATCTTCGTGTTTTACCATGTCTTTTACCATTACATTTTTTGACTTTGTTTTGTATGTCATTGGAATTTGTAAATTTACATTTTTTTTTAAAGAAGAGACTGATGTGTAGATAGAAAACCCTTTTTTTTTTTTTGCTTCATTAGTTTAGTTTTAGAATGGGTTTTTGTTTTATTTCCTTTTTTATAAATTTTATTTTGCTTTTAACATTCCTTGGGGTGCTTGGACAAATCTATCCGATGGGACAAGGAGCACCGGATCCTTTCTCGGGTTCTGCCTAAAATCAACTGGGCCACGTCGGCCTTCAGAGAACAGTGCAACAAATGCCAGCATTGCCATTCGGGGAAAAAAACAGATGAGAAGAACACGTGTTCACAGGAGGGCCCCACCAGTCAGAGCCCTGAATCTCTTCCTTGTCCCACCTCATTCCCACCTCTACCTTGCTAATGGCGGCATGATGTGTAAACTCTGTGGAGGGGTGGGAGTGGGTCTAACTGTCTTAACATTTAAGTCACTGCTCTTCAGAATACACTCTAGACCCAAAAGTGTGCTAATCACTTCACAGTGACCGCTACAGAGTGCTAAGAAGAGAAGATCAAGGGCATGAAATTGGGGAAGAGTGTTATTTTCGTTTTTTAAATGAGTTGATGTACCCTTATATATATATATATATATATATAAATATAAATATATATAAAAACAACAAAACAAAAAAACAAAACAAAAACAAACAAACAAAAAAAACCAAAAAACAGAAAACAACAACAAAAAAATCAAGCCCTATATTTGATCACTTCCTGGAAAGGCATGAATGTGTTTGTGGCTGTTTTTGTTTAATATTCTACTTCCTCTTTTCCCTCTATAATTTCTCTGCAAATGAGATTATGTGCAAATGCCAGGCAAGTTAACTCAAAAGAGTGAATCAACGCAAGTCAAAATGAAATTTACACTGAAGGCTTCCAAACCAAAGGGAAGGACAGGATGTGTTATCAAATATGTTTTGTCACCTTGTATTATACAAAATGTTATTTTCTAAAAAGTCAGAGAAAATCTGTGAAACTTATTGTGTGGCCCCCTTGTAATTAAATGTTAACTCGCTTGTATTTACTTTTCAACACTACATTAAGAATTAAGTGGTTTCAGTTTGTGGACATAAACAACACTTATTAATATGAAGGTGTCTAAGAACTCAGGAGGGCAAACATATGAATACCAACAGAGATCAGTATTTTCAAAATAAACATTATTTATACAAAATAGTTTTTAAATTAGATCAGAAAGTATTTAAAATAATTTTACTGTATAAAGAATTTGCTTTATTTTAGCTATATAATTCTATCTTTCAGAAAACAGAAAGCTGATGCTCCCAAGAAATTCATTCATTTAGCTTTATGTTTGAAATCAATGACATAAGCAGCTAATTCATATTCATGTGAAGGTTGATACAAAATCAGTCACAAAGGAATCTGCAGAGGGCAGAGTTGTTAAAAAGAAATATTACCTATGTAGCTTTTAGTTTTTAAAAAAATCAGTGTGATAAAACACTGATAATAGAACTTATATATTAATTTAGTGATTCATTGTAGGAATTCCCATCTCATCATCATCTGTGGGCTCGTGTAGTGACTATTGTATGTTTGGTTTATTCCTACCAACATTTAATGAGAAAACAATTCTACAGTTTTGGTCACAATAGTAAGGTGTCACTTGGCCACACACACACACACACACACAAAAGTGCAAACTGCAATAAGGTTCATTGGGGAAAGTGAGATTAATTTGCAAATATATGAGAAAGAAGTATAAGCATTTGTAACAATGCAAAGGTCTCAGTATCTGTGTGACAAGGTAAAGGAGTCTTGGGATGTGCATTGATTATTATTTGCTTAAAAAATGTTTATTTCCCTGACAACTCACCTGGGTCCTTCTCTACAATCTGTTCTTTATTCCCGTTCTCTCCCCTCGGATATGTGTCACATTTTCACAAACCAGAAGTGAAGCTGCAAGGACACATAAAACTTTAAGGTCAGCTTTGCACATTGGGTTATTTTCAGAATCTGAGAAGGCCCTTGTTTACTTTCTACTATGGACAGCTGTCACGGACTGGTGGCAGTGTACCTCATTGGACTGGATTCCAAACTCCCCCAGTGCTCAGAAAACTGTAAACATGGCAATGGCCTGATTTATCTCTTTGTTTTTTAAATTTTCTTTAAGTGCACGATGGAAGTGTGGAATCAATGTAGAGGAAGTAATCAGACCACAGTCATATTTTAGGCATCCATAGGTGTTAATTTAGCTGCATTGGGAGTACATTTTTTGTTCTATTTTTAGTGTAGATTTAAGCACTTTGAATAGCATGATTCAGGGATTGATGGGTAATATTTGATATTCTCACAACTTATGAAACTTCTTTTTCCTCTAATGCTTTGTCATATTTAAAAAATGAAATAAATGCAAAAGAAGCTATCTATGGCTTTAGAAACATTCCTCCCAAGTATTCCTCTATCAGCTCCATGTGAGAACAAACGAAGGAAACTGTCATGTGTTCACGTGCTCTATGTTTAACAAAAGTTCTGTTAGAACTCACAATAAAAAGAGAAAAAAAAATCTATTTCCCCTAGTGCTTAGGCTTCATCCTTTGCTTTTTTCAGTGGGGGCTGTGGGGGATAAGAATATTCTAGTTGTGAAAACACAGTTGAAAATGTGAATATGTTAGCCAAGCTGGGGGAGAGAATGGACTTCCAGACTTGGACATATGTGATGTTTGGTATTGCCTGTTTTTCATCAGTTGCTGCTCGAGCTCTGAACGACACGTTGTGGATTCAAAAGATCATCTGGTTCCTTAGTGTAACCTCTACTTGCTGCTTATGAGTATCCTGTCCCTTATTCTGGTGCTCAAACCTTTGCTTATTTAATTTGTACTCCATTCCTTAGGTCTCCTGTGGGCAGAGAAGACATTTGTATCTCATATAGACAACTGATTTAAGTTTAGATCAATTCTATGAAACAAATCTGAGACATGATGATTTAAGAGACCTGAATCTACTTTATTTCTGTAGCTAAACACTCAACTGTTCAAACAGTTAACCACTTTGTGATAATTGCTTTCTTCATAGTATATGTATTTGGACCCTATCAACTTAATCTTAAAATATAGATGCTGGTTTTTTCCATATTTCATTACTATCTAGCATTTTATAACAAAATCAAATATTAACTGAACCAACCCCTAAACTGTAAGTCTTGTTTGTCCTAGAATAGTCATTAACTTTTCAGATATCATTTATATAAATTAAGATCATCATTTCTAGGAAAACATTGATTCATACATTTGTGAATTATTTTTGGATTCTGGAATGATACCCTAGTTCTCTTTTTTCTAAGGAGTATTTTTTTTTAATCTTGAGATTAATTTCTTTCTTTTTTTATTAGGTTAAGTTTGTATCATTAGTCCCAGAAGAAAGCCTATTGAAATTCAAAGGATAGCATCAGCATTATACAAATGAAATGACTGACTGGAACCAAGAGAATACACAGACATGGAAGAGGAAAACCCCTTCTCCTGTCTCTGATTTGAACTTGCTTTCTCATTAATCTCATTATTGACATAGCTGACTAATACAGGTGAAATATTATTAAATATGTTAGAAATCCCATCTACAGACAGACACATATTCCCTGTTGCTGAAAAACTTTTCTAGCAGTACATACAATTTTTACCAAAAGATGGTGATGCAACTAGAATCCCTAAAAGGAGAAGTTTGTCAATGGAAGCAGAGGCTATGCCTTGTCTTATCATAAATCCTTTGCACTTTATTGTTCTGAACAAAGAAAGTAACCAATAATCAAAGTTTGATTATCCTTAATAATAGAGCTTAATCTTGTGTTCAAAGATACCTTGGGTCTATAAAAAGGAATAAAATAACGAAGCCCTTGAAATTCCAGACAAAATTGTTAATGTGTGTAAAACTGTGTTCATCTAAATGTGAGTCTCAAAATGTCGATCACCTAAAAAGCTATTGATGTTTGGATTTAGAAGATATTCTCAGAAACTGATATTCAGATAAACCCACATGTCTTGCAGGCATTGTTTTATATACCACTCTCTACCTTCATTCACAAAAACCCAGGAGATGATTATTGTTCTACTAGAGACAAGTTTCCTTCCAAAATAGCCTGATGTTTTGGGAGACTTAGCCTATAGTAAACAAAAAATTTGTATGATGACAAATAATTCATGTTCAGATAAAAACAATTGGCTATCATTGTTGTGATAATCTTACTCATGTCTTTACCCATTCTAAAAATAGTTTGGGGTGAATGTGAAATTATATAATTTGGCAATGATGACTTATTTCAGTAAATTTCTTCCTGATTTGTGTTTATTTTTACTACAATATAACTAAGAGTTCAACCAGTACAGTAAAAGAAAAAACAACCATTTGACAAGTTTTTCTAAAAAAAAAAAAAAAAAGAAAAACTCACCAAGTTGTTTTATGCAAAGATTTAGAAGTGCTTATATATTTCATTTTCAGCAATTATGGTTTTGCCAGTTTCATGACTTATGATGTGACTTTGGAGCAATGTGAAATATTTTGAGAATAAAGTTAGGTAGTGATTATTTAAAGTTTTACCTTTTACTTGCAATTGGTAGCAAGGTGAAATTTTATTCTATGTTAATAAATTGATATACTGTCACAAGGAGCTGTTAGATATAATTAAATTTAAGGAAGCAAGAGAAAAATATGATGATGATGATGATGATGATGAGTTAATCCTAATCCTAATCAAATGTGCCTTGTCATCATGAAATTTCTGTCACATCCATAGAAAATGCCCAGACTAAAAATAATGGAGCTCAATTCCAATATTCTAATATCATTTCTTCCTTCCATGCTCTGAACGTGTGTGTGTGTGTGTGTGTGTGTGTGTGTGTGTATTTCTCTTGCGCATTGGTAAATTTTTTCTCTAAATAGCCTCTGAGTCCACTGACAAACTCATGTTTCTGAATTCTTCATCACAGTAAGTAAAGTACTATTGTTTTTTCTACGATTTATTATCTTCATTGATGCATCCCCATGTTACATAAGCCTGAAGCGTATTCTCTTTTTAACAAAGGGAAACATTCTTAAAAAATTATCACACTATGTTCTCTCCACTACTAAATGAATAGAATCCGAAAAACTGCACATGAACTTGAGAGTATTACATGTAATATTGTTGTGTAAATTTTAACCTTCATAATCCAGATAACATTGTTTCAAAGGGCATGCTGTGTCATTAAAAAAAGACTTAATGTGAAATGACATTATTACATAGTGCATGAATATGTGGCAAAGTAATTTGGATCTATCCTTACTAGTCAATGAGAGATTAAATTTGGGGAGATCAGATGTGACTGTTTAGGCTAATTCTCAACTGGGATGAAGATATCTTAATGTTAAGATACATGGGTGGTTGTCCATATTCCTTGCAGTATATGCTCCTCTTAACTAGAATCCTTAGTGTATTCTTTCCACCAAAGTAGTGGAGGTATGTTCACATAATCTGCTATTGAAGTGCAAAAACTTTTACACTTTCAGAGTTTGAAAGAACCCAAATAGGAAAATTGATGGAATCATTTTCCTCTGCTGGTGTTCAAGTCATATTTGAAACTCAGACACTCTCAGATCTGTTCAACAGTCAGTAAAAAGTGCATTTTTACATAGTGTTTCCCTTTAGTTTTGCCTACCCTCTTGATTTTGTACAATCTAGAATGTATGTAACTCATGCGTAGGTGATGGAGGCGCTTCTTTTTTTCTTAGAATACTTAACAATTATATATTTGGTTTTGCTTTGACTAGCAATAGGAAAATAGATAAATACAAGTGTAAAAATGAGAAATTTTAAACTCAAAATTAATTTGTGTTTTATAGTCGTTTCATAAGTCTGTTGCTCTCTATGAGTATGCTCTCTATATATCCTGTAAAAATAAATTTATATGTTACATAGAAATTCAAGAAATTAAATTATTTATTAAGCTACAAATGTTTCTTCTGGTTTCTACCTGATCATAGATGAAAATAAATTAAAATGTGTTGTTGGAACATATGTAAGTATGTTTGTTAATTTGATAACTCTTGTTATACTTTTCCTTCCCTCTCTGTTTGTGTCTGTATAAACTTATAATTCTTAGGCCTAATTCCTATTGTGATTGCGAAAAAAAGAGTCTTAAGAATGCCCAGTTGGCTGGAAAAAAAGAAAATCCAAAAAACAAAAACCATCTTAAAAAATCAAGTCCATTTAAAATCCCTCTTTTTTCTTCACTACTGGATTAAGGAGAGGTTTGAATCAGTAACTCAGTATCTTAAAAGTCATTATCACATTAATGGTTTTCTCAAGGTTAAATTCCACATTTTTCCCTTTATTTTATAAAATTATTTGAGAGACAGAAATGAAAGGAATGATATCATGTGAGTCCTTCTTTGCTGTTTCTTCTCCTTACTTCTTGCTCCCCAGGTATTTTATTCCTTTCTTTTAAGGTACTACTCACATAATGACCTTAAAATCAAATCCCCTCAGGTAACATTTTAAAGCGACCAAGATCTTTAATCATCTTGTTTTTCTACTCTGTTTGCCTCTACTTGTAGGGCACAGTCAATCCTAAAGGGAAATGTTTTGGGCCTTACTTTTTATTTTAAGATAAATAACCTTATTATTTATTTTATTTTGGGGGAGTAGAGTGGTGGTAAATCTTTCCATCATAAGCATAACAAGTGAACAACCATAGCCTCTTAGAAAGAATGAGCTGTTTAAGCAGAATACACATCTTAAGAAAGCAGCCTTTTAAGAAACACTCATCAAAGATGAAGAAGACATAAATCATTATGAAAACTTAAAGTAATAGTTTCAAAAGGCCCCATAAGGTTATTTTAGATTGGATTTCAAAGTAATTAACATATTTAAACTTTCTTAAAGCCGTTTCTACCTCAGTAGGATTTTTAAATGTGAGAAAATAACCTCTATTGAAAAAGTAAAATGTTATAAAGATCATGAATTGGTATATAATTTGCATAGTATATTTTAAATTGTGAATCATATGATAACATATGACCCATTATTCAAAATATCAGGAGAGACCTCTATAGTTGAAGAAAGTTTGGGATTGTTTGTGCACTTCAGACACACACATAAATTCTCAGGAATTTTAATTGCATTCATACTATTGACAAATGGTTAAAAGACTGATATTGGGCCAGGCGCGGTGGCTCATGCCTGCAATCCCAACACTCTGGGAGGCTGAGGCAGGTGGATCACCTGAGGTCAGGAGTTCAAGACCAGCGTGGCCAACATGGTGAAACCCCATCTCTACTATAAATAAAAAAATTAGCAGCGTGTGGTGGTGCACGCCTGTAATCCCAGCTATTCGGGAAGCTGAGGCAGGAGAATAACTTGAACTATTCAGGAGGTGGAGGTTTCAGTGAGCCAGTATCACACCACGGCACTCCAACCTGGGTGGCAGAGCGAGACTCCATCTCAAAAAAAAAAGAAAAAAGAAAACTGATATTAATGAGACATCTTATCTCCAGAAGATACCTAATTAATATCATCTCTATATTTATGGGCAAAATAGAAAGGGAGAAGGAGAAAAAAATTGGAAAATTATAATATTGATGACCCAATCACTTGTTGCTGTGGGATTTTCAGCATTTATATATGGCCTGTAAGAGTAATTTAAACAAATTCCTTAAGATTGCATTTTCTATCAATGCTTAATGCCAGGTGTCACCGTTCTAAGGCAATGTAGGTACTGCAGAACCCAGATGTGTATGTGGGGAAGGGTTGAGTAAGATTCCAAAGGATAGAGAACATCTCAATTTGACCAACAATTATTATAATAATTATAATAATCATTATATAATAATAACTATTTGACTAAATTAGATACTTTTTTCCTCAGTGATGTGTCAGTTGGGTTTTGATGGTACACAGAGGGAGATATTAATTGAGTAGCTCTGTATTTGATTTAAAAATTGCCAGTATTTTTTAAAAAACTTAAGTAGTACATCAAATGCAAGACTTTAAGGATACTGTCAATAGTTTTGCTTACATTGTGGAATAATATACACACCATGATTTAAATTAAAATATAGGTAAATAATATTCTAGGAAAGATGACATATGGCAAAAGTCATCAAGATTGTGAATGACTGGTTTATGGAAAAATTGCGGCCAATTTTCTAACCTCTGAAAAAAATAAATATACAAAGAAATATTAATAAAAGGTGAAACATCTCAAAAAACAGAACAGAAAAACACACAAAAGCCAGCATAAATGATAAATGACAGCACTATAAGATTATGAAAATCAATAACTGGTTTAAATTAAGCAAAGAAATATCCTACTTCTGTAGTTCTTGACAACAAAGAACAATATTGTTCTTTATAAATAAAGTTAGCTAAGAAAGCCGATTCCAGCTTTGCTATTGAACATGTGACTTCTAAAAAGCAATTGTACCATCATTTAGCCAAAAAAAAGAAACAATATTGTTCTTGTCAATATAACAACTATGGACTTGAAAACTGGGCTCAGAATGCAAATCATTTCTTAGGTGGTCTCAGGCCTGAACTAAGATCCATTTGTCAGTGTACTTTTCCTAAATGAAATGGGAAATGTATTACTAAATACTATAATGTATGAATAGAAATAACTTTGGCATAGTGAGGGGTGAAATTGTTCATAGGATCCTTCTAAGGGATCTATCAACAATAACTTGAAGCCCTAGATTCACTCAGAATCACTTGGGAAGGTTTAGAAAGGCCCAGAGTCCCAAATATTCAGACATAACCAAGCAGTCTTGTGTTTGTACCTAATGTTAGTATTTTTAAAGTAAGCCCTTCACATGAATCCACAGAACAACCAGAGTTGAAAACTACAGGAGCCAATGAGGTGGGTCTCAACTTTTAGGCACCAGAAGAAGTACCTGGAAAGCTCGTTAAAACTGGGCGTTCAGATTGAGCCTCAATAGGATTGGAGTGAAGCACAAAATATATTTACTTAACAAGCTTTCTAGGTGATTCTAACATAGAGTCCCACAGACCACTCTGAAAAACACAGGTACAGGATTTGTTCCTTCCGTAATTAAAAATGCTGTCACTCTATGGAATGCAAAATTTAAGATTGCAGCAGATAAATAACACCATAAACTAGGTCTTCCTTTTTTAAATAATCCCTCCCAAATTGTTAATCAGAACTCATGATGAAGTCTTCTTGATTAAAAAAAAGTTGAACTATAGACATTTATACTTTGAGAATTCCTCATGAAGAAGAAAATAGAAAGATGTTAAAGCTGAGTTCAGCTTTGCCACGGAATATGTGGCTTCAGAAAAGAGTAATTGTACCATTCAGCAAAAAAAAAAAAAGCTAATTAATGGTTAAGTGTTAAATAACAACACATCTCCCTTCTAAGAGAATGCAAGTCTACTGTCACTTCTATTTTTATTTTTTTAATAGCAAAATTTGACAGGAATGCCAAAGACATTTGTTGTGAAAATAAATATATAAATGTCAAATTAGTTAAAGTAGCTGGACTTAATTAACAACTATTTTTACTCAAGTTAATAATCAATTCATCAAAATATTAACTTTAATGAAGAGTTTTCAAATGTTGCTTCGCAGAAGAATCACTTATAGCATTTGTTAAAAGCATGAATGAGTTTCTGGCTCACATTCCAAAACAATTGAACTCTAGGAAATTTTTACAGTCATGTAATTTGGGGAGCACTATTCTAGTAAATGTCATAAAATACAAGGCTATATTCTTGCAGTACAAATAAATTTAGTTAATTCTACGTGAGATTATCATTTAAATGCATTATCTTGCATTATTTCAGCAAAATGACAACCTACACAATGATGACAAACCAGTTGGTTCTTTATTTTATCCTTCAAGAGCTTACTCTGACAATACAGTTCCAGCCATATATATTTATTTTACTGGGCTAATTTTGATCTCTAGACTCCTTGTTTTGCCAGAAATGACTACCAGAGTTGAAGTTGTCAGCTTAGGTTTCTTAAGGAGAATGTATTATTTGATGTAAGATTCTCATGAACCAATCATGTCACTGATTCTAAGTATTAATACATATTTCAAGGACATGATTGTTGTTAGTTGAGAGAAAAATATTCTTATACATCCTTCACAGAGTAGCCACATCAAAGAGTTCCTGGAGACTTGGCTTTAAGTTTCTAAAGATCCCACTCATAACCTAGTGACTTCCGCAGTCACCCTAGGCCTTCTTACCATCTGGGGCTTTATAACATTAGAACATTCAAAAAATAGTATTCGACAGTAAATTTTGTTGGGTGAAATATAGCCTTTGATATTTCTACACTAAACTGAAAAAGATAATATACCAATTTAGCTTATTTTCAGAATGTATTCTGGACAACAACAGTTCAGAATCATCAACTGTGATGAGAAGCATTTACTGTGCTAAATTGGTATAGATGTATACATGTATGTGTAATGTGTATGCACTGTGAAATGAGAAACGCTCATTATCAATACATTTAAATAAGCCTAATCAGTATATGTGTGACATTAAATAAATAGCTATGAGTTCCCAAGGTAATGCACTCCATTAGGAATTTACCCAGTGAAACATTTTTGCACAGGCTAAAAAATAAATACCTAGGTTTCTGTTCAACTAGCTCTTCTTTAAGGACGTGCATTTTATCTCAAAGAAGAGAGTCAGCTCATTCTTACCTCTCCCATAAAAATCCTATGATTGTCTCTATTTTCTACTTTTTCCATTACATGGTAGCCCTGGATAATTTATTTATAAAGAATTGTGGAGGTATTGCACTCAGCAACTATCATAAGAAAAGCCTGTGAAAGCACCAAAAAAAAAAAAAAAGTTATTACTGTGGATTTCCTATCTTTTAGACAATTTTATTTTTCCAGGGTTGTGAAGTGACATTTTTTTCCAGATTCCATTTAAATTGTGTCCTCAGCAAATAACATGTCCTCAGCAAAGCCTAACTTTAAAAATACAGTTACTGATAAGATTTATTTTTAGTTTTCTCTTTACAGAATCTGTGCCATTGCTGACGTGAAATAGAAACACAATAGAATTAAGTAAATTTACAACTGGTGATCTTAGGAGTACTGCACCTTAAGTATTCCGCACCATGAGGTGACCTTGTATTCATAGTCATCTTCAAAATGGGCATCTGAATAACTTACTGTGTATCTTCATGAGAA